TGCCAGCTATATATATATATATATATATATATAAGAGGCTACAATTGCAGCTGCATGTGTAAAACAATAATAATAAAAAAGTCTAAATGTATAAGAAAGTCGAGCCAAAATGCCAACTTTTAAAAGTAATCTAGTGCAGCTTCATGGCGGAGGATCTAGTTGCAAAATATTGCATTAAAATGCAGCTTCATGGCAGAGGATCTAATTGCAAAATATTGCATTAAAATGCAGCTTCATGGCGGAGGATCTAATTGCAAAATATTGCATTAAAATGCAGCTTGGATTAAAAATCAGAAAGTGTGACTGACACTGTAAATGTGATTAGGAATGGGAAGTAGAAGGCACAAGGCTTTACTCTATCAGAATGAAGCACTTTTGAGGGTCAAATTCAGTATACCCAACATCAACTAGACATAAACCATCAGGGGGTGCTGGAGGAGCAGTAGCACGCCTACACGTGGCATCCATGAGCTTTATCAAGGCATCATCTTCAGCACCAGCAGCAGCTTCTCTAATTGAGGTTGCCACAAGCACCCGAACCATCTATAATAATATGATTAGCTCCAACCAAGCCAGCAATTGAAAATAAATAAATAAAAACACGACACAGAAGTAGCTAGTTTTAGCTCAAATCTAGCACGCCAATTATTCTATGAAAGGAACTAAAACTATGATTTTTACAGGAAAACACCAGAGAATGATACTTAGCAAGCACTATGGGGCATAACAGGATTATTGAAGACAAGCTATGTGCCGGAAAGCAGACCCATGACATTTTCCACTATTAGGGAATTAAAACACTTTTATAGGCAGAAGTATATATATATATAAAGCAGGGTTTTAAATAATGTTAAAGCTACAGTATGTCTAAGATATTTAGGCTAACTCCAGCCTACAAAATCTTATAAGACATGTTAGGTGGATTATCTCCATTTATATATTTTATTCTGAATATCTCTAGTCAACCGAAATTTAATTTTTTTCAATACCACGTTTTAAAGTAGTTTAAGTTCAATTTAATCTTACAAAATTAACTTATAAGGTGAATATTGTCTTCACCAATATACTTTATTTTCACAATACCTCTAGCCAATATGAATTTTTCCTAACGTAGCGCTATGCATTGATTGCAAAATTGAAATATATAGACCTAATAATAGTGAAAATGATAAAGACTTTGATTTTGATTTAGAAGATGATGATTGATAATTCCAATATAAAATAATTGTATTGAATTTTGTAGGTACTTACTTGACTTGGAAACCTATGACTTTTTATTGTTAAATATGAATGTTCTTAATTTGGAGTAATTTTTATCATTTTCTAGTATATATTTATACGTGTGTGTCTATATATGTCTGTATGTATATGTATGGGTAGAACAAAAGTGTTGTTCTCCTTTAAATTGATTCATTTGTGTTGAAAATCAACACGGCAATATTTAGAACGATAAAGGTGTTACTCCAAGCTATGCTATCGTCTCAACTTCTATTCATATTAAGTTACATTAACGTTGAAATAAACTTGTGATGCTTTACTTTTCATATTTACATCAATAAATTTGATTATCTACATTTTAGTGATACATATGAGAAGCCAAAACCATTCACATGTTTCGTAAATCGAAAGCAAAATTTGCACAGCAGTTACCTTTCTTAGAAAGCGATTAGCTACCAGCTCAACACACATAGCCTTTGTTTCTTCACCACAGTCCTAAAAATACCACGAGTGAAATCAAGCATAAATACAGCTCTGTTCTCAACAACCAAAGTACACAGTAAAACTAAGGACTCTGAGTAAAATCATAGCTAGACGTGATTGTTGAATTACATTTTTGACACTAAGGGGGACAAATGATTTGAAAGAGATCTCAGAAGATGCAATATGGACACATGTAAAAATCACAGGAACTCAGACAAACAGCATAAAACTCTACTCATTGGTACTATTTGACATGTTTAATATATTTATGGGAAAACCACTGGAAACCCATATTTGCTAAAACTACATACATGCTTGAAAAGAAAGTGAAGAGAAAGTCAAGGGCATATTAATCATGTGAGTAACTAAATATATTCTGAACAAATGAAATCTGTTAATATTGAAAGCCATAGATAAAATTGCATAACTTGCATGTTACAGTAAATCCAACCAAACGGATATCCTAGGAAATATTAGCACATTTAGTAGGAGGCTGATTGACCAAATTAACATTTTTTTAGTTGATTTCACTTCAATTCAGAATGAGCTAAATGGCCAAGACTTCTAACGGAAGTAATATGATACAGTCTTCAGCTGATTAACAAGATTCCATTATATATTTCATAGTGTGTACTTGAAGGAAACGTTATAGAACCATTGAGAACCAGATGAATGAACAAAAGGTTCTCAAGTCCTTTTCTAACATTTCTAGAAGATATAAATCTGATTAAAACAGATAACATCTCAGAAGATTCCCATATTATATAAAATATTATAAAAGGATTTAATGATGCCTATGCCAAATATAGTTAAAACTCAGCTCGCCCTTATTTCCCATACACTT